GGCGGCACAGCCCCTGGCCGTGTCGCCGCCGCCGCCGCCGCCGCCGCGGGGCGATCTCTAAGCGGGGATCTCCAAGCGCTGCTCGGCTCGGCCGCGGGCCAGGAGGGGAGGGTCCGGCCTTGCCCCACAGGCGTCCATTGGCGGCTTCCCCCGGCCTCCGCGCCATGCCTCCGGCCGAGTGAGCCTCCCCGGGCTCCGGAGCCCGCAGGTGCCTGAGGGCGCGCCAGGCCCGGTTGGGGAGGGGGCGCTGTGCTCGCCATGCTGCGAGGGCCCCGGGCCCTGGCTCCAGCCGCCGGGCCGCCCTCGAAGGGACTGCCCGCGATGAGCCCTACAGAGCTGTGGCCGCCCGGTCTCAGCAGCCCCCAGCTCTGCCCGGCCACCACCACCTACTACACCTCGCTGTACCCGCAGACTGTGCCTCCCACTGCGGCGCCCGGCACCTGCCTCGACGCCACCCCCCACGGACCGGAGGGCCAAGCTGTGCGATGCGTGCCGGCTGGCCGGCTGCCGGTAATGCTGGGGACCTCCCCACCGCCACCCACCGCTTCTCCCTGTGCTTTTGCGGGTGTGGGAAAGGAGGGAGGGGCGCCTGGGACCCAGTTTGAGCGAAGCAGGTCGAGTTGGGGAGGGAAATGAGAGCTTTCGGCTTCCAGAACAACCCACTGCCCTGCATACCTGAGCAGAAGAGCCCTTCATTTTCGGATTTGGGATGAAATAACCTCATCTATTGGAGTGGAGTGGAATGAGCACTGGAGTGGGATGGTGGAGACCCAACCCACCACCCCCAGGGCACCGTGTGACCTTGGGGAAGTCCACGGGGGCAACACTGCCACCATTCATTCATTGCTGGATCCAGAAACTCGTACTGGGCATCTGGTATTGTCCAGGTTCAGGGCTTGACCTAAGGACAGTGGGGACTTTAAAAAAAACAGGGCAAGGGTGGGGGGGTGTGTTTCAGGTCCAGTCTGCCTTGGACAGACTCCAAATCTCCCATACAGCCAACTCTTTCCCAGTTATCTGCCCTAGGTCTCCCCCCAGGCCCAGCCTTCCCTCCCAGCCAGCCAGTAGCAGGTGCAAATTGAGGGCAGCCCCTTGGGTTTCCTATTCAGATTGTTCCTTTCTCAAGCCCCAGGCCACTGCCAGGGAGGACCCAAAGTGTGGCACCGGGTACAGGGTGTGTTTTGTGGGAGTGGAATTCCTGGAGCCCTTGAGAAGGGAAACAATCATAGGGTGGGGGTAGGTGGGGTGGGAAAAGCCCTGGGGGTACTGGGGGTGGGGTGGGGAACCTGGTTTCTGGGCCTGACTGCCACTAATTCAGTGGGGCCTTGCATCAGTCTTGGCACCAGCCTGGGCTTAACATTTCCTTTGCTTGAAAACGCATGTGTATATGGGGTAGCTGGGCTAACTTATCTGAGGTCACTTCCAGCTCCAGGTTTTGGAAATAGGCTCCAGGGAGGGGAAATGGGGGTGCTGTAGGCTTACTTAGCGGTGAGTGGTGAATAAGTTCAGGCACAGAGCTAAGACCACCCCACCCACACTGCCATAGAGACATCTGCTCAGACCTGTGTCAGTGAGCAGGCACGGACCCCCAGCCCTCCCTGTCAGTGGCTACCACTCCCTGCTACTGAAATCGTGCTTTGCCCATCCTCAAGGCTTTGAACCTTTCAGAGCCCCTTCCTGCACGTGATTTCTAACTAGGAGGAAGGAGGCAGGGGTGTTACTCCCATTTTGTAGGTCAAGCAGCCAAAGATAACTTGAGACCAGCTATCTATCTTATGTTCAGCATTACCCTGTGAAGTAGAAGGTATTAGTAGCCCCGGGGAGAAACTGAGGCACAGAGTGGGGATGTGATCTGTCCAAGGTCATTCAGGGGGATGTATGACCAAGGCTGGCGATCATTGGGTCTCTTCTCTGCAGCCTTAACTTTCCCCGGTGCAGCCTGACCTAGGAGCTGGGTGCCCCCGGGGGAGGGGGCTGGCTCTGTGGCGGGCGCTGTCTCTTCTGGCCAGCTGCTTTCAGGCGCTCAGGCGGAGTTTCAGTGGCTGAGTTTCAGTAACAGCTGTGGTTTTGAACTGCTTCCCTCCCAGAGGAGCCCGAGTGCATCTGTCTGTAGCTCCCTCCCAGAGGGGCTCAGTGATCACAGCAAGAATGGCCCTCTTTTACTGAACGCCTCTCGTGTGCCAGGCACTGCTTGGCACTCTCCGCATTGTTATCTTGGCCAAGATGCCTGGGATGAGGCATCTCACAGATGAGGAAACTGAGCAGAGACGTGAAGTCACTTGTCCAAGTCACAAGCCAAGAAGTGGTGGGAGAGTCTCCTTGCATCAGACTGCCCTAAAGGCCTGCCGGGCCCAGAGCCCCCTCTCCTGTCGGATGCCCCATGGCCCCCTGCCTGTGGGCAGGCTTGGCCCCCTGCTTGCTCATTTTACCAGGGTGTGACCTGGAAGAGCTCCAAACCCAACCCTGGGTGTGGCTGCTTGTTTTGTGGCCGGGTTGCAAAGTGCAGGGTGAGCAGGATTTGTTGAGGAGCTGCTGTTTAAAAGGACCTCAGGGGCGGCAACCAAGTTCAGTGGCAGAACGAAGCCCTGAGCCCTGGTCTCCTCACTTCCTGTCCAGGGCTCTTTCCAGCACCCTCTGGGGAAGGCTTGCGGTGCTCCTCCGTGGCGTCCCTCCTCCGGCCGGGCACATCACGCTGTTCTGTCTCATTCCCGCGGGAATCCGTGAAGAGGGTGGGGTTCTGTGCATAGTTCTCCTTCCTTTTAATTTGTCTACGTTTTCCAAATTCCCTCTGAGAGCCATGAAAGCAAACGGACGTTTTAAGGAACAACCATACAAGCCAGGTCAGAGGAGGAGATGTAGGCTACCGAGTGGCAGAGCTGGGATCTGGAACGCTTGTTCCTACCCCCGCCGTCTAAATGAGGACTTGGGGCTTGGGAGAACCCTGGCTCCGGCCCGTGTGTGCCCTCGGGCAAGTCAGCTCCCCTCCTTCGAGCCCCAGCTTCCTCACCTCGCTGCCCATGGTGGGGTTGTGCCAGGTGGTCTCGGACCCTCTCACTACTGGAGCCGCCTGAGGAAGGAGCTTCGCTTTTGTCCTTTGGGGTTGGTAGGGGAGCTCGGATCCTGATCAGGCCTTTAGGAAACAACCGAAGGGGCTGCCTACGAGGGTCCAGGTTCGAGCCAGGCTGGCCTTTGCCCTTGGCACATCTCCGTCTCTTTCCAGCTTACCTCTGAACTGTCTTTCTCCTTGCTGGTGCCCCTCGTGTTTTAGTGATAGCCGCTTCCTTGCGCGAGCGAAGCGCTTTGCTGCACTGTTGCTGAACCCCCAGCCGTGGGGGAGCAGATTATCCCCATTTTACAGGTGGGGCTCAAGAGGTCGACTGTCTTGATGAGCTCACCCAGCTGAGAAGGGGGGAGGCCTAGATGGGAACCCAGATGGGTCTGACTCCAAGGTTTGTGCTCAGGGCCCCCTTGGCCCTCATCTTCCCGGGCTTGTCCTCTGCTGCCTCTGTTCTGCGGGCCCAGGCCCATCTATGGGCTGACTTTTCTCTGGGCAGTGCCCCAAGGTGTCAGGGAGATGTCCTTGGATGAGGGACATTTTACTGCTTAGGAACACTTGGAGTATAGCATAAGGGTGAGGGAGAGTAAGAGAAGGGAGGGAACTGGTGTGGGTGTATAAAATAATGGGGGCAGGTGGGCACAGCCGGGCCTTGGCTCAAATTCCAGCAAATTCTGGGGGGATGTGTGTGGGACACAGCTGAGGCAGCCTGGTATGTGGCTTTGGCGTCAGACAATCCCAGGTTCAAACTCTGGCTCTGCCCTTTGTCTGTGTGACCTTGGGCATGTGTCTCACCCTCTCTGAGCCTCCATTTCTCGTCTGCCAAGAGGGATTGCCAATACTGATGTTGCAGAACCGATGAGCACGTGATAGGCCCAGTGCAGGTACTCTGTTCAAGGTCCTTCCTTCCTTCTCCCCGCCTTGTAGGTGGTGAGATTCTTCCTCAAGTGTTCTGTGAACTCAGCAGGGCCTGGCTCCTGTTGGGTGGGGGAGGTGGATGGGTTTGGGGAGACTCTGGGCTGCCCCACCTTTGCCTCAGGTAGAACTCAGCTTGGCTTCCCTTCCCCTCCTTGCTCTTGGCATTCCTTCTTGAGGGTGCTGGGATGGACAACCTCAATCAGGATTGATAAAGGCCTTGGAGCTCACCAGGTCCTGCTTACTTCAGCTGTTAAATGGGGGTTGGTGGTGCTGGGGAGACTCAGTGAGGTGATGAAGGTTGGGGCCCAGCCCAGGGCATGTGGAAGGTCTCAGTGAGTGACTGGGCCTTTCTCTAGAGACAAGATGGGTTACATTCCCTAGGATCTAGGATCTCACCAGCTGAAAGGTTAGAAAAAGAATATCCCAGAGAGACTTCAAGAGGAATGAGCAGGGAAGTGTTTGGATCGCGTCCAGGTCTGGGTAGGGGTGGAAGAGAGTGGCATCGTATCCAGGCTCCTCAAACCCAGGAGCAGGTCTCCTGAAATCAGTCCGGGAAGGCTTCCTGGAGGAGGCAGGAGCGGGGAGGGAAACTGATAGCAGGAAGAGCTGTCACCACCTCCGACACCTGTCAGCCCAGCTGTGCTCAGCAGCAGTTAGTCTCAGCCCTGCCGAGCATGACCTCACTGTCAAAGGTTAAAATAGGCTTCTCTGTCCTGACCAGCTTAGGGGTGTCTGGGCGGTTGGGGGGAGAGGGAGAGGAAGGAAATGGGTTCAGTGGCCCCCAGAAGGGTGTGTCAAGGAAGAGGCCAAGCCTGGATTTCAGAGAGGGGACTCTGCATTTTCTGAACACCTACTGTGTCTGAGTCACAGGGTGAGCACTTTGCAGGAGTTAGCTCCTCGATTCCTTATAATCATCCCACAAGGTAGGTGATTTCTGCCTCATTTTACCAAGGAGGAAACTGAGGCTCCTAGATGCAGAGTACATCCCCAAGTCACACACAGACACAGTGAGTCTCTGAAGGAGCCGGGAGATTCAAGTCCAGGCTGGCTTATGCCCCCGTGCCCTAGTGCCCTAGCCCTGCCCCTGCCCAGCCCTAACCAGGAGAGAGGCCCCTTCCGGGCCAGTGCAGCTTCTGGGCCTAATTGGGGCCTGGTGGCAGTGGGGTGGAGAAGAGCAGACGGGTCTGTGGTTTGATTTCCCCAGCAGGTGTTTCCCAAGCTTGGCGGGAACAGGCAGGGGGAGCAGGGGGACCTCAGCTGTTCGTCCTTGAGAAGCAGGGGAAGGATTCATTGTCTGCCCCTCTCAGCAAAGAATGGCAAATGGAGTCTATTCAGGAGGCCCTGGGGCCCTTGAGCCGGAGCCCAAACATGGGGGGTGGGGAATGTTTGCTCTGCTTCCCGATGTGGGCACCTCCCTGGGGTGTGGCACTGAGCCAGGAAGTCCCCTGGGCCTGGGCGGATGCCCAGCCCCACCCTGATAAGGGCCAGCTGTGGGGCTGTGATGGGCACCAGGGCAGGCTGGGCCAGCTGCTTTTGCACTTGGTGAGGCGGGAGGCTCTCCCCAGCCTGGTGTGGTTTAGGTCCTACCCACTCCTTCCCCCCTGCATCATCCTCTGGGCATGGTGCCGATAGAAGTGACCTTGGGGCCTGTTATTAAGGAACCCCGGGCTCTCGGCTGGACTGGCTTCCATAGTCTTCAGGAGCATGGACCTCAGAATGGGAGTGTTGTGTGCTCTTCAGAAAATAGGACTCCCTGCGGCACCTGGCTGGCTCGGTCTGTGGAGCATGTGACGTGACTTGATCTCAGCGTTGTGGGTTCGAGCCCCATGTTGGGTGTAGAGATTACTTAAATAATAAAATCTAAAAAAAAAAAAAAAGGTAAAGAAAAAAATAGGATTTCCTTCCCATGAAAACTCACTTTTTGAGTCCCTCCTATTTCCTCACCAAGTGCAATGATGTTTTCACCAGGACCGAGGCACAGAAAGTAGCTGCTGGTGGCCTCCATTCTTTGGCCCCAACTTGGGGAAAGGCTGAAGGAAGAATGACTCTCAAACCCTGTCTCTCTCTCCTCTTTTCAAGGCCAAAAGGAAGCTGGACCTGGAGGGGATCGGGAAGCCAGCAGTTCCTGAATTCCGGACCCCTAAGGGGAAGTGCATTAGACTGGACGGCCTCCCCAGCCCCAAAAGTAAGCCTTGCCGATTGGGCATCTAAGGGCGGGCCCCGGATGGGGGATGGGTAAGGGCAGAGGGCAGCAGCCCTGCCCGAATCATCTGGAGTGATATTTGTAGCACACTTCCCAGTTTACAAAGTAGTTTCCTCTGGGTTGTGTCACGGGACCCTGCCAGTAGGTAGCTCTGTCCCCCTCTCAATGATGAGGCAACTTGAGACGCAGAGCTTGAGCGACTTACCCAAGGTCACACTGCTGGTGAGTGGGGTCAGGACTCAAAGCCAAGCTAGCACTGCTTCTCCCACACCGCACACCGCTCTCGTGACCTGAACGTGATGACCAGCGTTTTACGTGGGAGCTTACTATTAAAAAAAATTTTACATTTCCTGCAGTCTGATCTTTTCTAAAAGAGAGAATCCAGGGTCTTTCTCCCACATGCAGAGGGCTAAATGAATGACTCAAAGGGAAGTGAAACTTGGGTTGGTCTAACCCGCGTGGCCTCAGAGATTTTTAAGATCCAGGGGCTGCCCGGGTGGTGCCTTCCTAAAGTTAAGCTGCAGGGAATTTCTGCCTCTGCCTGCTGGTATTTTCAGTCAATATCCTGGTTCCAGCTGGAGTTTTAGAAACTATGTTAGAGAGGAACAGTAATTTGGGGGGGTGGGGTCAGAGACCTAATGAAGAAGTTATGTGACCGGGTGGGAAACAAGAGGGGCAGGAATTTGGGGATCTTGGGGCACCTGGGTAGTTCAGTCGGTTAAGCGTCAGGTGTCCAACTTCGGCTCAGATCATGATCTCATGGTTCATGGGTTCGAGCCCTGCATCGGGCTCTGTGCTGACAGCTCAGAGCCCATAGGCTGCTGCGGATTCTGTGTCTCCCTGTCTCTCTCTCTGCCCCTCTCCTGTTCACACTCTCTCTCCCTCTCTCTCTTTCTCCCTTTCTCTCTCAGAAAAATGAATAAATAAACATTAAAAAATTTTTTAATGAAAAAAAAAGGAATTTGGGGGTCTGGACAAGGTTCTGCCCTGATCTGACTAATCACTCCTCTTGTGAGCGTTAGTTGTCTCATCTATAAAATGAAACACATCGGGGGGCGCCTGGGTGGCGCAGTCGGTTAAGTGTCCGACTTCAGCCAGGTCACGATCTCGCGGTCCGTGAGTTCGAGCCCCGCGTCAGGCTCTGGGCTGACGGCTCAGAGCCTGGAGCCTGTTTCCGATTCTGTGTCTCCCTCTCTCTCTGCCCCTCCCCGTTCATGCTCTGTCTCTCTCTATCCCAAAAATAAATAAACGTTGAAAAAAAAAATAAATAAAATGAAACACATCGAGATCAGGAATAGCAATAAAGTTTGCTCTCCCTTTGATTGGTAGAGGCTGCCGGGATCATTTTATTGAAAGGTACTAAGTGCACTGATCAGTCAGCAATGTCTGTCAAGGGTGCAAAACCTGACAAAAACAGCCCGTGTGCCAAATGCTTGCCATCTGTGTGTTAGGGGATTCTAAAGTCCCCTTCCGGAGGAATCTGAGACTCTCTCAAACTCAGTTTCCAAAACTAGTTTGGCCACTAGCTTGCTATATGACTTGCAAGTCACTAAATTTGCAGAAGTCTTCTTGTGGTTTAAGATGCTGCAGCTGAGATGTGGTCTTGGGACATCCACCTCATTAAGAAAGCATCTTTTTTCATGCGCCTGCCCCGTGTGACAGTATAGGGCTGATTCCTTTCAGATAATCATTGGGCTGCACATGGAAAGAAAAAGCAAATCTATACACGTGTTCTCGAATCCCAGCCCATTATTCTCTCCCTACCATAATCCTCGATTCCTGACCTAGCTGGCGGGATAGGGTGATGGTTAAGGAGGAAGACTGCAGCCAGACTGCCCGGATTTAAATCAGCTTTGTCACTTTCTAGCCGACTGAGCTGGGCAAGTTACTTCACCTGTCTGTTCTGAAGTGTACTCACCTGTAAGATGGGATGCCTCTCCGGCAACAGCCTGAGAGGGTGTTGCAAGGATTAAATTTGTGGTTTATGGAAAGTTGCTTAGAACGGTGACCAACACACGATAACTATTTGTTGGTGTTGATGGAGGTGGTGTTTCTAGGGCTGCCCTAAGCTCTAATGGAAGGGGGCTGTGAACTAGGAGTTAGGATGCTCGGTTTCCAGTCGCGCCCCTGCCCCCGACTGCGAGACCTCAGACAAGTCACGTGTCCTCTCTAGGCATCAGGGTCCCTGCCTGGATGGTGGTGGCG